TATCTGTGAAACTTTAGGCTCTCCTTCAATTCTGAATGGTAACGTACTTGGGTAGGGTACTGTTGCCTTTAAGTTTTTTCCTTTCATACTCTGAACATATGCCACTCCCTTGTGGCCTACAAACTTTCTGCTGAGAAATCAGCTGATAGTCTTATGGGTATTCCCTAGTATATAACTAGTTGCTTTTCTCTTGCTGGTTTGAAGATCTTCCCTTTAACTTAAACATTTCCATTTTAATTACTATGTGTTTTGGTATGAACCTCTTTGGGTTCACATCTTGTTTGGGGCCCTCTGTGCTCCACTGACCTGGATGTCTGTCTGCTTCCCAGATTTGGTTAAGTTTTCAGTTATTATTTCTTCAAATAAGTTTTCTGCCTCTTCTCTTCTACTTTGATTTTAGTATGCTTCATACTGTCCCAGAGGTCCCTTCACCCATTTTCATGTTTTTATTTTTTTTTTCTTCTTGCCATTCAGCTTGATTTCCACTACCCTGTCCCTGCAGCTCACTGCTCTGTTCTTCTGCCTCCTCTAGTCTGCTATTGATTCCTGAGTATATTTTTCATTTCAATTAAAGTATTCTTCAGCTGATTCTTTTTTTTTTTTTAAGATTTATTTATTTATTTATTTATTTGACAGAGAGAGAGAGAGCACACAAGCAGGGGGAGAGGGAGAGCAGGCTCCCCACGGAGCAGGGAGCCTGATGCAGGGCTTAATCCCAGGACCCTGGGATCATGACCTGAGCTAAAGGCAGACGCCTAACTGATTGAGCCATCTAGGTGACCCTACTCTGATTCTTTTTTATATTTCTATCTTTTTAATGAAATTTCTCAGTGAGTTCATCCATTTTTCTCTCCAGTTTAGTGATTGACTATGAACTCTTTTTCAGGTAGATTAATTCCTTTTTGTTTAGTTCTTTTTCTGAAATTCTGTCTTATTCTTTCGCTCAGAACATATTCCTCTGTCTCCTCGGTTTGTCTAATTGTCTGCCTGTTTTTCTACATTGGGTAGATCAGCTACATCTCCCTGTCTTGAAGGTAGTGGCCCTATGAAGAAAGTATCTTGTGGGGCCCAGAAACACAAGCTCCCCAGTCACTAGAAACAGGTAGTTCAGGGGTGTCCTCTGTGTTGGCTGCATGCGCCCTCCTGCTGTGACTGGGCCATGAGTGCTGGGGGCATGCTGGTGGGTGGGGCTGGCTCCAACGCCTGGCTGTTGTAACTGTGGGCACACTGCAGGGATGGAGCTGGCCTCAGCCCAGCTGGTGAAGAGGCCTGCCTGTGGCTGCTGCAGACATGCTGGTGGGAGCAGTTAGCCTCCAGGGTGGCTGGCTGCAAGGCCTAGCCACAACTGTTGCAGGCATGATGGTAGGCAGGGCTGGCCCCCATTTCATGGGGCACGAGTCACTTTGGAGTAGTGCCTGTCCCAGCCAAGTCTTCCCACTGGGTGGGGGAGGTGGGTAGAAGCTGCTTTGGGAGGGGAACTAGTCCAGACAAAGGCCGTCTGCCAGGTTGTGGTGGGGTAGGAGCCATTTGGAAGGGTGCCTATAGGGGTAGGCCAGTCTGCAGAGGAACATGAAATGGGGTGAATGGTTGCTACTGAGGTTGATGGGAGAATGTCGGAACAAGCGTCTGCCAGTATCGGGTCAGCTAAAGGAGGGCCAAAACATGGTGCCCTCCAGTACTCTGTTCCTGGAGAAACTTCCTACAGATCCCTGCCCCTCTGGCACATGCCCTAATATTAGCCAATCTCCTTCATTCATGTTCCAGGCACTTTTCAAACTGCTACCTCTGTTCTGGGTCTCCAAGCGAGTGAAACTGTTCAGAGGCCCTTTAAAAGCAGGGTCTCCATACCCTCTAGTCCTCTAGCCCTCACGGAGTTAAGCTCCATTGATCTGCAAAGCCAGATGTTATGGAGGCTCAACTTCCGAGTGTGGATACCCCCAGGGCAGGGGGTGCCCAATATGGGGCTTGAACCCCCCTCACTTCTCAGGGAGGGCCTACCTTGATATCCCTCCCACTTGTGCATTACTTTGCTGGGGGTTCATTTCCCAATGTGACCATGTCTCTGCCCCTCCTATTCTTCTTGACATCACTTTTTAAAATATCTTTAGTTGTATAAGAGCTGTTCTGCTAGTCTTCAAGTCTTTCTCAGAGAGTTGCTTTATATGTATTTCCAGCCTTGGAATACACCTGGGAGGTAAGCTCAGGATCTTCCAACTCCACCATCTTCCCATGAGTCTATCTTTAGCTTTAACATTTTAATTATAATGTGTGCTGGCATGGATCTCTTTGGGTTTACCTTTTATTTGGAACTCCCTGGGCTTCCTGGATCTGTATGGCTGTTTCCATCCCCAGGTTAGGAAACTTTTCAGCCATTATTTCTTCAAATAAGTTCTTGTCCCTTCTGCTCTCCCTTTCTGCAGCTCCTATAATGTGACTGTCATTCAGCTGTGAATGTTACTGATGTTGTCACATAGGTCCCTTAAGTTATCTTTGTTTAAAAAACCTTTTTTTTTCCCTTTCTGCTGCTGTTTGGGTTAGTTCTATGGCCCTGTCTGCCAGGGCACTGATCTGTTTTTCTGCTTCATCTTGTCTGTTGTTGATTCTCTCTAGCATATTTTTCTAGTTCGGTTATTGTATTCTTCAGCTCTGTGACTTCCAAAAAGGAAAGTAGAGTCTTACTCTCCTACAGCTTTTTGGGTATCCTTGACATGAAACCCATTGATTTCCAAAGCCAGATGTTTTGGGGGCTCATCTCTCCAGTGCAGGTCCCAAGGGTTGGGGTGCCTGATGTGGCTCGCTCCTCAGAGATATGCTCCATATTTGTGAGATCATTCCCACTGGTGGATTACAGCACCAGGGATGGGTTTTTGGTGAGTCCATGTCTCTGCTCACCTACCTATCTCAATGTGGCCTTTTTGTCCTTTGTTGTGAAGGAGCTGTTCAGCTAGTTTTCACATCTTTTGTAGAGAGAACTGTTCTATGTGTAGCTGTAAATTTGGTTTGTCCATGGGAGAAGGGGAGCTCTGGGTCTTCCTATGCCACCATCTTGAATCACCAATGTCCACTTCTAAAACTTGCAGGCAGGAAGTGGGTTAAGGTACAAAAGTGTGTGAAGGGTTTCCACCCTTTTTTTCACATGAAAGCAATTTTGAAAAGGAAAATTTTGCCTTTGACATTCTTCCACTTTCTCATGGTAACAGCCACACTCCTAGAGTGCTTCTTTCCTGGGCCTGTGTGTTGACCTAAGATACCTACAACATTCCAACCATGTACTTCATGCTCCAAAACGTCTCCTACAGACTCCTCATGAACACCCTTTGCTCTGCCAACTCTTAAGTTCATTGTACCCAGCTTTCCATTCTCATTACTTTCCTCTTATCAATCAACACACTTTCCCTGGGCTGCCTTGTAATCTCAATCCTTCTCGCAATCCCTCTCTCTCTAACTCCACCCCCACTGCCCCTAGCCTGGATCTGTCCTCTGGGCTATACACTTGTATATCCAACCACCTACTAGATACCTGGATGTCCCACAGTCATATCCAACTTTTAATTCATCACCCCCCACCTTCCTTTGTTCTCCTCAAACCTGTTCCTCACCGTCAGCTTGTATCCTTTTCTCCCTGGATAGCACCATCATGTACTGAGATGCGCAAGCCAGAAACTGGAAGTCATCAAGGCTTCCCAAACCACTGTCACAATCCATTGATTACTAAATCCCACAGATTCAGTCTTCTCAAAATCTCTTAAAACTGCACTCTCCTTTTTATTCTCTCTGCCTCCATTTTAGCAACTGCTCCCATCATGTTATTCATAGATTAAAGCAACAGGTTCTCAAGCTTTTTCCACACCCATCAGCAAACAATTTATTCTCCAGAGATAGGAAGCCATGTGATGACAAGAAAATCAGATCCTGTCACCCTTCCTACCCTTAAAAACTCATCATTAAAGTACTAGGGCCTTCAGAGTAAAGACCAAAATCCTTCAGAAGGTCAGAAGTAGGCTGTTCTCTCACTTCTCTCCCTATCCTATGCATGTTCTAGTCATGCCATCTACTTGCAAATACCCAAACAATCCACTTTGCTCACAGGTTTGTTTGTTTTCACAAGATTCTTTCTCTACTTAATCCTCTACCTAATCCTTATAGCTAATATTTAAGAATTTAAGATATAGTGGGGTATCTGGGTGGCTCAGTCGGTTAAGTATCCGACTCCTGATTTCTGCTCAGGTCATGATCTCAGTCAGGGACACGAGATTGAGCACCGTATTGGGTTCTGCTTGGGATTCTCTCTCTCTCCTTCTGCCCCTCTCCCACCCTCCACTCATGAGTATGCTCTCAAAAAAAAAAAAAAATTAAGATGTATCAAAAGCATGCCTTCTATATTAAATAGCAGCACAATGAGTGAATGTCAATCATAGCACACACTGTATTGCATTAGTAACCTCTGTAAAGTTATCTGTTTTCCTCCATTAGGAATCACTGTCATTCACTCTAACCACCCCTACACAAACTCACATTCTAATGACTATCACTGATGATTCTGTATTCATAAATCTTTATTATACACATTACTATATCTGTATGATTACTATCATTGCTTGACATTAATTTTCTTCAAATGCTTATAACAATAGAATCTTCTAAAGAAAACATTTTCAAAGACTTTTCTAATAGATCGAAGAATTCAATAGCAACTATAAAACAATTCCTGTAAGTATAAAGTAGTAAGGGAAACAACAACAGAAAATTGCTTCTTAAATGTTGAGATATATCTATACTACCAATAAATCCATTTTCTGAAACTAAACAGATCAAAGCCCTTTAATCCTACTTGCAACATAGGAAAATATTTTTTAAATTGCTGTATTTAATATATTTAATCCTGGAGACCATTCAAATATAAACAACAATTACACCACTCTCAAATTATGGCACATTGTAAGAGAAGTTCATTTATCATTGAACACTACATTATGTTGCTGGCTAGAACACTACCATACCTCCAATTTGTTTTTCTCAACAGCAGCTTGTAGAGAAGGCGAGGATACCAAAGGCTGAAGAGGAGCATCAGAAGAAGAAATCTGTGGAATGCAGATGAAAAGTCGGAAGAACAAAGAGAAAAGAAGGTAATCAGAATTGACAGACACAGGAAATAAACAAAACCCACGCATTTCTGAGATATAAAAGCACTGAGAAGTATGTTAACTAAAAAAAATAATGTATCAAGTGGAGAGTATTGCTTTTTTTAAATTCCCACATGCAATTCCTAAAAATAAAAGTATTCATTACAGAATGTGTAATTTAAAATAGAATTCACTATGATATAAAATTTAAAATGTACTCAGGTAAGATACTCAAGTAAGGTACTCAAATACAATAAGTATTTGAAAAATATGGTTCTCATATGGTAAACTTTTATTCAATGTTACTACTGAAATACTAATGCTCTAAAGCATGAAGACACATTGTTTCAAGGAGCAGGAGAGCATAAATGAATTTTTGTTTTTACTTGTATTAACTATTTTAAGAATGGAAAATAAAACAGTGCTGAAATAGTAAAAGTTAAGTTTTAATCAACTGTTTAAGAAAGAAAAAAAAGTCTGGGAAAAAAAAGAGTGGGTTAATGCAATACAACAGCTGAGCAGCAGAAGGACTTATCAAAAAGCAATTTATACACTTCCCTCTTTAAGATCAGTATGTACAAACACCATTTCCAGTGCTATATTTGCTGAATTACCCCAAAGCATTATGAGACAGTTATATATGCAACAGAGGCAATTTATGTATGAAAATGGATTTCATCTAAAAGCCTTTTCACACATCTTCCTACCCAATTTCTACATGCATAGTTGATCACTTTAATGGAAGCATTATCTTCCTGCTCTCTTTACCGCCAAAATATAACTGAAATATGTTTACAAAATGCACAGTAGATCTTTGGAGCCATGAAACTGACATCTGTATATACAGCCCTATCATATCAATAGTGCCTCTAAGAATTGTTTAAAATAAAAGGTGCTATTATATAAAGGTCATTATGTAATGTCAAAATAACATTGGGAGGTAAGTCGCCATTCAATCTGCTTGTTATTAAGTTAGTTATGGTTGTAATTCTTGAATCACAACCCAAGACCATAAACTTCACGGTTTTTTTTTGTTCTTAGCTTCAACACTGCTTGTTGGCTCTGTTATAACTGTGCAAATTAGCCATTTACTGACTACTAATGGAAATTACACATGGAAGAGAAGATTTTAAAAGAAAAACTGCACCTTAAACCCTGGCTTCAAAGTTGCTTTATCCTACTGGACATTTATTTGCTAAAGATCTTTATTGCCACTTTATGTAGAAAGTAAGAGATAAAAAAGCACACAAATTCACTTAAGATGATAACCTGTATCATAAAGACCTCTTTGCCCAAACTCGTGTTAACAGCTGAACCTAAAATATAAATGAGAAATAGGTATATCAAGCATGTCGAGGGTTACTAATTCATGATAGTTCATTGTAAAAGTGTTTGTTCTCCTTTTGACTGATTTGGCCACTTTTTTAAAAAACTCAGAAGCAGGAATATAAAATTATTTAATAAATACAGTAATTTAATAAAGCATTTTAATGCTTCTTCCAAAAAAGTGTTAATACTATGTTTCAGCTAGAAAGAAACAGAGGGTTGTTCAGTAGGAAAGACACTTGAAAAATTAATGGACACATTAACAGGTGAACAGATAAACAAATTGTTGTATACCCATAAAATGAACTACTATCCTGCCAATACAAAAGAAATTGTCTTAATAGTACTCACAAAAATAGGGGTGAATTTCAGAAATATGCCGAAAGAAAGAAGCCAGACACCAAGAGTACAGAGGCACAGAGAAACCTTTTGGAGCAAAGGAAAGATTCTATATGCCCTCTGTGGTGGCTACACAGGGTTAGATATTTTTCAGAGAACTGTAGGTGAGGGATGGGGGACGGATATTAAGAAGCACTTGTGATGAGCACTGAGTGTTGTATGTACATGATCAATTACTGAATTCTACTCCTGAAACCAATATTGCACTGTGTTGATTAACTAGAATTTAAATAAAAATTTGCGGGGAAAAAAAAAAGTCAATGAAATGTACCTTAAATTGTTTACCTTTTATTGCATATAAATTTTATTGTCAATAAAATTCATTTTAAAAAAGTCAATGAGCAGGGTAAGATACATTATATGAGGAAGGAATGAGGAAATAGAGGTCAACATACAATCAGAAGCAAGAAACACCACAGAACAGAGATAGATGAGGGACAGCAAAAAAAGCAGGGAGAAGAAAAAAAATACAGAGTCAAGAAAAACTAGGTGCTCTTGAGTATTGTTTCTAAATCTCTCAAAACCACTTCTCACCATCTTCTCCACTAAGCACTAATAGGAAATCACCATCATTTGTCACCTGGCTTAATCCTTTGGCCTTCTTGCCCCAAGTCTTGCTCTTCTCCAAACTACGACATTCTCAAACGCAAATCTGATCACTGGATATCCCTAGTTAGAAGCTTTAAATAGTTCATACATATTATATAAGGACAGAGTCCAAACTCCTTAACCAGGCCACAAGTGTCTCTACTTTATCTCCTACCCTCTCCTGCCCTGCTAAACTATGGTCTAGCCATACACAACTCCCCCTGGTTCCAGCTCTCTAGTCTGCCTCTCTTGCTTCTGTCTTTGCTTCTGCTACTTCCTCTGCTTGAAATAGCCACACTTCTATTAGTTCTTACCCATTCTTTAATGTAATTTGACACTGCCTCTTCCAGGAAGTATTCCTTCATCCTCCAGTCGGAATTAAGTAGCCACTTGAGATACTCCCAAAGCATTTCTATAATACTTCCTCATTGCAGAAGTTATTACACGCCATCTTGTAAAGATCCAATTACTTATCAGTATTCTTTGTTCAACTGACTGAGGTTCTCTAAGACAGACACTTTCTATTCTGTTCCCTATCTTTAGCAGTTGGCACTCAACAAGTCTCAATAAAAACTTTTGAATGTTACAGGAAAATAAAAAGGAGGAAAGGAGCATCTCAGAGGAAGAACCAAAAAGAGGCTCAATCTCAGCAGTTATCACTGTCCTTTATAAGTTCACTGCTTGCTAACATACTTTTCTGAAATCTCATATGTTATCTACATTTACTCTCAAATTCAGAATTTATTTTGTAACTAGACATTAACACCATTTCACTGGATTCTAGTACTTTATAGAGAGAGAGCAGACAAGACTTTGACCTTAGAAAAGTTCACTGGAAATTGGTGGTGTCAGTAAATTCAGTTGTTATGACTGAATGTCCCTCTATTCCCTACTGTTCTCCTGCCCAACCCCTCCATCCATGAGAGATCGCACAGGGGGAACCCAGTAAAGATATCCTTTAAGAATAAATGAGTTATAGTCCTTTCAATTATTCTTAAGCTCAGAGGTTCCTCTTTAGGCCACCATCAGGTAACCTATATGTGAAGAAACTCCTAAAACAATACAACTACATAAACTCACCTCTTGCAAAAGAAAAACTGATCAGGCAAAACAGGTTTCCAATTCCCACCTACCAGGATAAGGTGCGTAAATGCGTTTTGAAATGGTATTATTATAAAAATATCAGTAGGATTATTTGAAGGCCATAAGGCAAAATGTTTATCTTTTCAAGAAAAGATCACATTATTTTCCTCATCAATTTTTTCCACTACCACCCTTTTCAACAAAATAATGCTATAATAATAAAATCTGGTGTTCTAAAACACTGAAAAACTAAGACCACTAAAAAAGGCCTTATAGATTAATTACTAGCAATACACTGCTTCAAACCCATTTTGGAAATTCTTGGATATGTTTTCTAAGTGGAGATTTTATCATAACAATTCTCAAGTGGCTGTCTCATTAGCTTTCAATATATTGCAAAGCTCAGGTTTTTCAGGAGTCCAGAAATCATCTTAAAAATATGATTTCCAGGGGCACCTGGGTGGCTCAGTCGGTTAAGCTTTTGCCTTAGGCTCAGGTCATGATCTGGAGTCCCAGGGTCGAGCCATGAGGCTCCCTGCTCAGTGGAGAGTCTGTTCCTCTGCCCCTCACCCTGCTTGTACTCTCTTGGGTGCATACGCACTCTCTCTCAAATAAATAAAATCTTAAAAAAAAATGATTTCCAATGTCAATGTAATTGACACAAAAGTTGAAAATACACTTACTGAACTAATAATCATACAAAAGACACCATCAATTAAACTCATCAGTATGAGGCTTCAAGACTTTAACAACTTAATTAACCACAGCCACCAAATATGTAGAAGAAGCCTAAATTTTAATATACTAACTTTAAAATCTTTACTAAGAAATGTAGAAATCTGGAAAACTTTTCAAAATATTAAGTTCTTTAATTGCCACATCAAGTGGCAATTAAAAGGCTGACTAAAATGTAGATGGATGAATCAAACAACTCAAGTCAAATTGTGCCAGTGATATAAAGTCTTACAGTTAAGTTTGAGTATTCACATTTCTTAATTATCTACCTGCTTGAAGTCACTTGGTGCTGCCAACCTTCCCCATCTTCCTTCAATATAATCATTACAATAGCTTATATTTATTAAGCACTTATGTGCCAGGCACCCTATTAAAAATGCAACATGCTTCATTTTATTTTACTCTTACAACAATACTATGTAATGTAGACACCATGATCATTCTTATTCCACAGAAGAGGAAAATAAAATTGTAATGAAAAGAATTAACAAAGAAAGCCAACTTGAAACTGCTATTTTATACTAATCCTAACTCACTCACTACCTAATTATTCACCTAAGTTTCTCATCCCTATAAAAGAACATCTAAAATTCATTGCAAATCACATTGTCTTGAAATTACTCACATATCTTAAATAACTAATTATATAATCATCAATTAATTGTAAACAGAGCTTAGTAAAATTACTAGGGCTATCTCATTTTTATAGTAATATAGTATAGAAACTTGTTTCTACAATAATTTCTAAGTTGAAATAATGAATTTACTTTTGTTGTATTAAATATTAGTCTTTATATACATACACATATATGTAAAACAAAACAAGT